ACTAAAAATTAAATGTAAACGAAAAATTGATTGGTTAAGTGAATGAATGAATGGTAGCCTTACTGGATATTCAGGGAGATGGTGGACAAACCAGGTACATAGGGAACCCTACCGTGAACGTCGTTTCATACCGGACGGGGTATTGAGAGATAGTATTCTTAGTGCTCATAATAGACGGGGTATGGGGACGGCCGGTTAGTTGATAATGTTGAATAATAGTTTACGCGTAGTGAGACATCCCTATAGACCGTCGTGGATACCAGTAGGTAAATAAAAAATAAAAGTTTGTTATTCTTGCTTACTTAAAAATGAGATTGGAATGTTATTTGAATTCTTGTATCTATATATCGATTTTAGAAATCTTGCAACGGTAAGTATGCAATAAATAATTTTACTTATGATAAATGAATTTACTTAAATTAAGAGCTCCATTGGTTGTTTTTATGATTTTTACCTATTTTCATTTTCTGTATCGGTGAATAGTGTGATATTTTTACTGGAGTTGTGTAGTTCACCCATTCATTAACTATTTCAGATTAAAAGGGTCAAGACCCAGATTCCGATCAACAAGAGGGTTGTGAATAGTTTTCCACCCCGACTCCTTCAAAAGCCAGTGAAAGTGGTCCTAAGATGCTCAGTTGTTTACTTTTCGTTTATTTCTTTAATTTTTATTTGTTCTTTTAGAATGAATATTCTCGTAACCCTATTAGGTATTTAAAACTATTATGTAAGAAGTATAAACTCTAACTCTATTATTTTGCTTCCGCATTCAATTTATAATTTTATTTCATTTCAAGTTCCTAGTCGTTATATTTTGTGTCTGAAACTCGGCTCAAGCTAGATTTAGGACTTGGTTTACAACTTCTTGCAAGAGCACGAATAAGTTTTGGCGACAGGCCGTTGAAATTCTTCTGCAATTCGGACACAATTTACTCATTGCTAATTAATTTAAAGATTACTTAAATTTAATGAAGATGTAAGAAAATTTATAGGGACAGAAGAATTTGAGTCACTATATAAATATGGAAATTAATTTTGATTAGTTGCGTAAATTATAAAAATTAATTGATGGTAGCATGATATGCATCTTAACTAAGAGACTCTCATACATGTTAGGGTAAATTATAGAGTCCTAACTTATCGTGGTGCCAATTAATTGTGGTCTATGCATATAATTACATTTGTTTCCTTTTCTGGTTAAATATATTTGGGGGAATATAATTAATTTCCTAATAAAGATTTCACTTTCCAATTACGATTTGGTAATATTCGATTTTTAATTAGCTAATAATATGTTAAGTATAAATTTAGTAATTAGGATCGCGTTGAAAAGAATTATTTTATTTATTTGTTAATTAATTAGGAAATTAATGAAGATCTCTTAATTAAAAAAAAAGGAAATTAAGGCTAAAATCACGAGTGAGTAATTAAGATCAATTACTTTCAAAACTCCACTATAAATTAACAATGAATAAGATGGTTTGTTCATAGTTTCATACTCTAAACCTAATTCCTCCATTGAAGTCTGCAAGAATTTGATTCAGGCAAGAAGATGGCAGATAATAAACCTCAATTTGTGTTTAGGTGCGAGCATTGTCCTGGTTTAACTTTTCCTAATCCAAAAGCACAGGATTTGCATTTCCAAAAGAATCATCCCGTAACTCGGTCTTCTTCATCGGGAACTAAGAAAGATTCGTCGTCCAAGTCCAAGAAAGTTGACCTCGATCTCAAATTGGGGAGATAGATATAGTTCTTTCTACTAAATTAGTTGTTGGTTTTCGTTAATTAATGATTGAATTTATATGGGAAAGTAATTCGTTATGTGATACCTTCATTCAAAGGTGTAGCAACAAAAACAATGTTTGCTTAATCTTCTTCTTATTGTATTTGTAATGGTTTCACATATTTAGTAAACATCTTATTAGTTAAACTTTGCTTTGTTGAAGACTTTAATTTGGGAGTCAATTCCATTAAATCTATTTTACAACTAGATACATAAAAATACCATATATATATATGTTATTATATTGTCAAGCTAATATTTATAATCACTGAATTTAAATAATTCAAATATATATTACATTTTAATTACAATTGCAAACATGGTTTGGTACTAACGTCTAATATATTATAGATACGGATTTTTAATTTATAGATTTTTAAACCCTTAATAATTTTTTTTTATTAAAAAAAAAAACACGCATTAACACGTTGAAAATAATTTTATGCGATATTTATATAACTTTTAACTTCAATAGCAAATATAAAATCTTTTAAAATTTATTCTAATTCAGTACGATATAATAATATCGTATAAGTAATTATCTCATAGTAATATTATATGTAACATATTATTTATGTGACCAAATATACTAGTTTCGTAATATATATTTCGAATGGAACATTAAGAATATTTTTGTTTTCTCATCAAATCTCCAAATTTTATGTGTTATATTTTTAAAAATATTATATTATTTGATTTATGTATATTGATTATTTAATATATACGAATGATTTATTATTTATATATTTGATGTATAATAATTTTAATTTTAGCACGATTGCATATTTATGTATAATTATTTTTTACAAACTAAAACTTAAAATTAAAAAATTAAATTACCATTGGATGGATGAAATTATTAGTAAAAGCTAGTTTAGCATTGATTCAATCTGATCATATCTCCCTTTAATATTTTTAAATCTTGAGAATACCATATTTTTTATATTAATTACTGTGAATTTCAGAAGACATATATTAACAAAAAATATTATAAACAAAATTAGAAAGCAAAATTATAATATGTTAAATAAATATAATTATTTGAAAGCTACCATTGCAATATAAAAATATATTAAAAAAAAAAATTAAGCAACATTATATTGCTGCCATGCACGATAATATGTCCTATATATAACCCTAATTACAAACTAATAAACGATTAAATAGAAAAAAAAATTAGCGATTAATAGTAGAATTATGCCAAATCACTAGTTAATTTAGCTAGTTGTAATAATTAAATTTTGGAGTAATATTTTTATATATCAGCATATTAGTGCTCACTTCAGTTGATGATGAGGGTGAAGGCTGTGATGGAGGATAAGCTGCTTCATAATTAGTGAAATTTGATCCTACGCTTGACGTTTGACTCGAACTAGTTGGTGTATTCGTTCTTTTAGAAAACATATTCGAGCTGGTCTTGTTTGATTCTGTATTTGAAGTCTGACTCGAACTAGATTTAGGTTTTGGTTTACAATGTCTTGCATGAGCACCGATAAATTTTGGTGACAGACCGTCGAAATTCTTTCCGCAATTCGGACATATCTTACTCATTGCTAATGAATTTAAGATTGACTGAATTTGATGAAGATGTATGAGAATTTGAAGTTACCCTTCAATGGTGATCAATTTATAGTGACATAAAGAATTTGAGTATCTATATAAATATGGAAATTAATCTTAATTAGTTGCCTAAACTATAAAAGTTAATTAATGGTAGCATGATGTGCAACTTAATTAAGAGATTCTCGTACATATTAGGGTAAATTATAGAATATTAATTGTTTGCATTATTAAATTGCGTTGTAATCAGGGTGCACATTAATTATAATTAGATTTGTTTCCTTTTCTGGTCAAATATATTTGGGCAATATAATTAATTTCCTAAAAAGATTTCACTTTCCTATAATGACTTGGTCATACTTGATTTTTAATTGTTATTATTAATTACACTGGCTAGTAGTAAATATTAACTAACTAATATGTTACTGTAAATTTATTAATTATTTAAATTTTCATTTCAAATTTAGTAATTATTAATAAGGTATATAATTACTCGAATAATTCCTAATGAAATAAGAGTCTAATGACATGAACCTATGAAGGAAATCAAAATTTAAAAAAAAAAATATATATATATATATATACATAAACTTGACATAATAAATATATCTTTAATTTTACTAATAAATTAGAGATTCACAAGTATATTCCAATTTTTAATTAGAATTTTGTTCGAAAAAGTAAACTAAATTATATAATTTATTTGTTAATTAATAAGGAAAATAGTGAAGATCTGCTAATTTTTATTCAAATAAAGAAAGAAAATCAATGCCAATATCATGATTGACTAATTAAGGTTAATTTATTTTAATATTCAATTGCATAAGATGGTTTATTTATAGTGCCAAAATCACAAGCTAATTCATTCATTGAAGCTCTCAAAATTTTGATTAGGGGTGAGACAATGGCAAATTATAAACCTTCATTTGTGTTTGGATGTGAGCACTGCCCTGGTTTAACATTCCCTAATGCAATTGCACAGCATTGGCATTTTGTGAAGGTTCATCCCACACTTGTTGAAGATTCATCAACATCGAAGACGAAAAAAAAGAACGGAGAGAGTAGTAGTAGAAAGAATACAACTCGAGGTTCGTCTTCCAAGTCCGAGAAAGTTGATCTTGATCTCAAATTGGGGAGATAAATTTAATTTTATTAAGTACTTTATCGTTATTTTTTCGTTTATTAATTATTGAATTTATATGGGAAATTAGTTAGTCATTCATATAGGTGCAGAAACAAAAACCATGTTGCTTAATATTTTTCTTATTATGTTTGTATTGGTTTCACATATTTAATATAAATCTTATTAGATAAACTTTGCCTTTTTTGGGTAATTTCTGTTGAAGAAATTAATTTTTTGGAATCAAGTTGATTGAATCTATTTTGCTTGGAAACGTTATAAAGACTCCTGTTTTGTTGAAGAAATTTACCAAATTTCTTAAGTTTTCTTGGATAAAATTCTAATAGAGTGGACAATTGATTATCTTAAATAACTTCTGAGGTAAAATCCAAAGAAATCACACCAGAGAGAACCAAACTTATTGATTGTAAATTTTTTGGAATCATAAAAATATAAGAGTTTTACAATAGATACATAAAATGCCACAAATATACTTGGAAAGCCTTAAAGAAAGGAAGCATCTCTTGCTTAGACTCATCATACAACATCATACTTGAACAACAACAGACTAAATACAAAAGCACAAAACCTGCAAAAAAAATTGTAGCAAGACTAGACACAGTCCTAGTTCCCGGTATATAATCAATTTTCTTTGCTCCGGGAGTATATATAATCAATTTTATTTGTGCTTGTAGAACATCAAATATTTTTTTTTTAATCATCTTCGACATAAATGGTTTCTTGCTGAAACAGGCCGCCAAACAACTTGTTTACTTGAACCTTGGAATCTTCCGCTTCCGGTTTCTTTTCCGGCTTTGACACCTCCTTGGATTTCAAATTAAGAGAGAATTTTGGGATAGTAGGTTGTTTCACAAGAGCTTTATTGGCTGGCAATGCTCTTGCCTTTGCCTGTCCTCTCACAGTAGCAATCTGCACTTCAGCTTTCTTATCACTGCTAGGCTTTGGAACTGAAGTAGCAATCTGGGAACTGATTTTTTCCCAGGAAAATTCAGAGCCAAAGCCTTTTGCTTTGCTCAAAAGGCTTTCAATTGATACATCTGCAGCATCTGTCTTTGCTTGGGCTTCTTGTTCTGAAAGCTTTTTAGCTTCTTCAAGCTTCTTTGCTGCATCCGCAGCTTCACGAGCTCTTTCCGCTGTTGCCCTTGCCTCTTCCTCGGCTTTTGCCACCGCAAGAGCTTCTGCATAAGCTTTTCTTCTTCCATCCTCCGGAATGGCACTAGAAGAAATAGGCACATTTTTCCATGTCCCAATCATATGCAAATTCAGAAATTAAAATGCACATATAAGTGAATCTACCTGAAAAGCTCATTTACTGGCTTTGAGGGAGCTGAAGGATCAGTAAACACTTCTACAACCTGATTAAGAGGAATAATCAACAAGTTTGATAAAACCAGAAGCCAACAGCAATTCATAGTTCTCAGTAGCTATTGTCATATTATAGTGCATCCCAATTTGAAAGTAAAACAAGATTCAACCTTAATTATTTGTATACAAAATTAGTTACAATTAACATATTTGATGCATAATTGAACCAACTCCACTCATATTTTCAATTCTATAATATATTTGTATTTTCAACAAAAAATACTAGAACACCTTACGTCAATAGGAAATGAATTTACTTAGGAATTACAATACCATTGTAATTTAAATCTTTATCTCATTTTGCATTGTATTTCATTCTTACTTATTCCACAAATTTGAAATTTAAATCAAACTCATCTTAAATTCAACTTAAGAACTGATGAAACACCAAACTAAGCGCTAACTAAACTAATTTACAAATAAACAGAAGTGCTTTTTTACAAATGATAACCTCTATGCTCTATGTGAAAAGAATTAGTTTGCATAATCATAATTTTGCATTAAAATGTACCTTATTCTCTGCAACAGATGTATTGGAGAAAATACCCGCCACCAGTGAAGCTATCTTTGACTTTGCTACCTAAATATAATTTTGACATAAAATCAAACATACACAGAGGAATAAACAGCAAAAAAAGTTTGCTTTCCAGAGAAGAATGTGATAGGAAAATGAACAAGATACCACCGCATACATTACATTACTTTGTAGTCGTTTGCAGCAGCACTGCTTCGTTCAGCTGACACAACAACATTATAGGAGCCTTCAGGCGAGAAATCTTCGGTTATGCTAGTCTTTATAAGAGTATAGCCAAGATCTGTTTCGATTACTTTTTGCAAGAACTCAGGAAGTGACAATGTTTGAGATTGGGAGAAGAGATTCTTAAAGAATGATGTGAAACCATCTAGTACGTCGTAATTTGATGCATTTGCTACATTCCTATCATAGATTATCGCAACATGGCTAACTCCAGCAAGTTGAGCTGCTTGGATTACTTGTAAGGCATCTGATGTTGAGAATTCTTTAGTAGGACCATTTTCTGCAGGACCAATGGTGACAACAACTTTGCTGGCATTCCCAATTGCTTTAGCAATTGACTCTGCATCTTGGAATGCAGATTCAACTGCGTTTAGGCGCTTTGATTCGTCATTAGATATGATCTGTGATAATGATGCAATATAACGAAAACTTAGGGTAGCAGCTTAAGCAAGAAAATTGGCTCACACCATGGTCAAAGCCTTTCTGCCCTCTAGAACTCATTAATCCGTGAAGCATGAATATACTTCTGTAAACAAATAAGTTAAGCAAATGGTGGAAGAATCAACATCGAAGTCGATCAATTCTCAAAAGGGAAGAAACCATTGAAGTTAATAGCTCTTGACAGCCAAGCAAAAGATCTAAACTTTGGCCAGAAATGGTGAGTTATTGTGATTTATATTTTATTCACGGTTAAACTACCTAGGAATATGGACGCTTAAGTTTTTAACGGATTTAATTAAAAAAAGTAATGCATTGCAACTCTTCACTGAAATTCAAATGATATTCTTAAAACCAGAATACCTGCATTGGTTGATCTCTCATAAGACAGAAATCCCACCCAACTTATATGAACATATTAGCTAAGTGAAATTTGATCTATATAGATTTCGATTGCTTAAAAGAGAATGGAACTAAGTAAAGATATCCAATTAAATCTCGTGTTGCCCCTTGAAGAGCTTCAGTAATTCTCGGCTATGTTTGGAACAGCTTAAACTAAGAATGGGGGAAGACTGTTTAGAATGATAAAAATTGTTTCAAACACAATTTCAAGTGCCACTAGAAAAATACAGTTTATGAACAAAAATAAACCCATGTCAGTTGATGAGACTGTCAGACACTGACCTTATACTGCGCAGCAAGACGAGCCAACTCCTGAGCAGCCCCAAGATCAGGCACACCAGCCCTAACGCTGAACCCTTCACGCAACAACGACTGAGCAATGCGAATACCGGCCTGCCCAGTAGCACCAGAAACAAAGACTGTGCTGGGATCCTTGCGTCTCACATTTCCAAACTTGAACCCAGAAGAGAGTTACTCACAACTGGTATCAAAGACTTAACATCGGCACCTTACCCGAGTTGAATCGAAAAGGATTCGAATTCCAGATCATCAGCTTGGGCTGTCCTGTGAGGAT